TTAGCTATGCAACTTCGCTAATTACCACAGTATTGAGAAAATATGAAATTTAATTCGAATTGATTATCTATTTAACACGTCGAATGCACGATTTTAAGGCGCAGAATATGCGAAATGAAAGAAGTACAATATTAACCCTTTGATTCTCAGTCACCACTCGATTTGATATAGGAAAACTGTGAAATAGTATATTTAGTATTCGAAATTAAATTGTAAGTTAAACTTTCGAAATTATCTAAGGAGGAATTCGTTTCTACATGTTTTGAAGTGGTAAATGGAATTTTGAAAACTGAGGATTTTTGGAGATAGTTTTTATACGTGTTGGTAATGTAAGAATAGGTACAGTGAAGTTTCAATTTTTATGGTAGTTTAATATTAAGTTATATTTAGTAGTTTCATATTAAATTCTGTATATTTGTTATCGTTGGAGGAATTATGATTTATACCTTTCTCGTTTAATTAACAAGGGAAATGACGTTCGTGTTTAGATCAGGTTCGACGAATGTCGATTGGGATTGAAATATGAAATTTTATAATTACACCATGATAATCCGCATTCGAGTTAACTCGAATTTGTGCAGGAATAGAGAACGTATGATTTACAAAGTCGGTAATTAAGTAGAAAGTAAGAACTCGCAGTAAAACTTTCAATGAATGACAAATTAAGTCTCATTAAAACTTCACGGAATCACGTTTACAGATTTCACGTTTAATTCGTAACTATGCCGCGGACGTAAACATGGCGTAGCGTAAATGCGAAATCAACGTTTCGTACGGTCGTTTAACGAAACTTGGAACGTTACAATTGAAATAAAGCAATGTCGAATCTGATCGTACAGCCTATTACTGCATTTCTCACGCATTTCTAATGCGCCAATACCATTAGCCTCCTTAGTAACCTACAAAAAAGCATTTCAAGCCGTAAGGAAAAAACAAAACTGGACGCTAATCTGCGATCGCGAAAGTGTGACACGCTGTTAGATGCAGCGAGGCTTGGTAGCACAGTCGCGTGGCAGCTGCGGGCAGCGTAACATCGATTATTCGCTCTGAAAAAACGCCCCACCCGTTATGCAATTAGTCGGTGGCCTAGGTGTGTCTTGTGGATCTCTGTTTCTAGCGAAGGTGATTACATAGGCTCCTATCCAGTTAGACTGCGGAATTAACCCTTAACAACTCGAGCAATAGTACCGTAGCGTCTGGCTTATCTGTCTTGTCATGTTGCTTCATCGAAAAATATTAAAACCGACAAAGAACCGTTTTCATTTAGAAACCTTCACAAGATAACTTAGATGATAAAATAAGGAACATGCATTAATCATAGTGATTTCGAAATAAAATATATACTAACTGGATTTTCACTTACAAAGAAACATCGTTTTGCGAAAGCAAATATGTTTTAGAAGCTGTACGAATTTTTCTGTATCAAAGTTTTCAGGTAAGTATACACTACATTCAATAGTTCATTACCTGTTTACCATGAATCTTTATATAAACATCGACATTTCAACGTAACTCATACATCATCGGTATTTCATACAGCTCTACAGCTTCACGAATGATTTTGTCATAAATCAGGATGCGTTCTATCATTCTTGTATTCAGTGAGGCTTTGAGATCATCTAAAAATAAAATCCTCAGCATACGTCCTTCGCAAAGAAACATACAAATTTCACTGCGCATTTCCAAATCATGCAAGTTTTACACGTTGCCGTGCAATGACAAGTAAAGCTCAAGTGAAAACTATTCTGTTCCTATCAATTTATTATCTTGTGCATTTACAGTGGGACAGAACATTCTCTCCATTTCTTTAAATTACTGATAGCAAAGAGTTACTATCTATGGCAACGTTAAAGTTTCCTGCACCTCGTGACGCCGTTCGATCATTGCATACGTGCAACGATGCGCCTGTACAAGCGGCTGAAAGGGTTACCGCGATTCCGCGTGATCGGGGGCACCGGCGAAACTATAACGAGACGGCGGAACGCAACTTTCATTCAGGTTCCCCACGCCCGTGAAAGAAAAAAGGAGATACGGGCGTTAATCGCGCGCAACGCGCAACGCGTCGAGTCCAGCCTGCCCGACGACCTTTCTTGTGCGAGCGTCGATGTCTCCGGCCGGCTTCTAACGCTAGGCCGGCCGACCGGCCGGCCTGCGCCGACTAGATAATGCCGCGTTAATATTTTATTGGAATTCCTGCGTGCCCACGGCGCGAGTCCACCCGGTTTCACGTTCCGTTCTGCTTTCGCACGGGAAACCTTTCGGATTGTTCGATTTTAACACGCATTTGCCTTTGCGGGAATTTAAACCTTCGCGAAACGAAGCGTTCTCGATGCTTCGCCTGAAGAACCTCTGTGCAAACGTTGGTTCGTTCCACTGGGGTTTGTTGAAACATTTTAATATAACAATGCGATTAATTCGGTGTCGTCGGTAAAAGTGAGTAATTAATATAAGGATATAATTGGTGTGATATACGTTTTGTAACAGTTTATCTATTACAAATCCAATATAGAAATAGACTACACAATTACAGATATAGATATAAACGATTATATGATTGATAACGACCGATTATTTCGACTTTTATGAAATTCGACAGCGATTCGCCTAACTACACCGACTTGCGTAATAATAGTACATACCGCCGGCGTACACTCGTTTTCATATTGCCTCACGGGCTTTGTCTTCGTGCGAATATTTTTTCGTTTAAACGTCTTAAATCATGCCCGCACCCCATGTCGATGACCGCCTAGCGTAAACATTGTTAGATTTCATGTGAACGCTTGTTATTGACTCCTACACTGGGAAGCAGTTTGATATAGTAATTTGTTAAGTTTGTAATGTTTTTAGGACTCTAGAAAAGTAAATTGTATCATGAATAATTGAAGTAAATACTGTTGAAATATGGAGATATTGGAAAGCTATTGAATGTTGAGTTTTGGTATAGGAACGCAAAGGGTTAAGTGCACTGCTCGTGCAGATGTAAATCAAATGCTACAGCATTAAATGTTGAAGGCTAGATGCTGAACTAAACGGTCGAAATGGAAATTCGATAAAAACTATCAATGGAGTACGGTTTTTGCGCGTATATCGAGGACACGCGAACACGCGGAATGCAATCGAACGATTTCGCTGGATTCTAAACGGTTGTTTTAATGTTATCGCGATTACGGAATGCCCGATGGAAGAAAGAAGTTTCCATTCGATTCGAGTGTTCGACCGGGGTTGCGTGAAAATACGCGAGGCTAACGGTTCGCGGATGTTCGTCGATTTTTAGCCGGCTCATGCGTTCGGGAATCGGTATCGTAAGAGGTTCCATAAGGTTTAATGAGATTTCAGATTTACTTCGAGTTTTATGGAACATTCGGAACAGTAAAACTGAATTTATTATCATCCATTCAGTGGTTCAGATACATACTCCTGCATATCCGTGCCAGATTTCTGCGAAGGAATCTACGTTTCGAATAAACCGTTCCAAACGTTCACAAAGTTTGCTTGTATCCACTTCCGAAGACAAACCATTACAACGTGAAAACAACAAAGCTTTTCTCACAGAAAAAATAATCGAAACATCTAAATCAATTTAAACAATTATCAATCTACATTCAATCTCTGAATTCCGAATTTGAACCACGTTAAAATACTCGAAACAACTTCAATTCTCCATCCCCATTTCCATTGTCCCACAAAAACTCATCCAAAGCTCATCACCAACCCACATCCTCTACAACCAGAATACGCAACAAGTCGATCGCCGAGCGATTTTTCTTCGATTACAGTCGTCAAGAGACGTTTTCAACGCGCAAAAGCATCTTAATCGCTCAAAGAAACGAGACGGAAGCTTGAATATCTTGAACGTCAAGGATTTTAACACATTGTTGACCGGCAATTTTACGCAGAAGCTATTTAACCCTTTGTGGACGAAGACAGTCTACAGTATACAAAACCTTTTGTAGATTCCGCAAAATCACACATCGAATGCCTAAATAATATAGAATAAGGAAATTATGTTCTAGTTTCTCACTGTTCGAGTAGTTGAATCATTTGTTTTCTACTTAATATTACAAACATGAATGTTAGATCTCAGCAAAGCGTCGACATTCGTCCGCAAAGGGTTAATGTCACCGGTTATTCCGTAATTAACACTAGGTTTGCGGGTATTGTGCAGTTTATTCTATTGTTCCTAGAAAAGTTGACATTCGTTTATTTAGATCTTAAAACTTATAGATTTAAAAATGGACAATTAGAATACATATTCAAACCCGTCGAAACATTAACTAAATAATGTTTATAAAATTCAATGTGCGTCAAATTGATACATTCCGTAAACCTAGCGTTAAATACGAAAGTGAAACGATCTAAATAAAACTTCAATATACTTTATTTATCTTATGCATAATGAATTGAAATGAAACTTTGGACGTACCTGTTATATAATGAATATTTTGTTTTTGCGATATCTTATATTGTCCTATGTTTCGAAAATTGAAATGGCTGATGCAAGTGGAGATACGAGTTAACTCGTGACCGGGTCAGTAATGTGTTAAGTACCTCGTGACACCTTTCTCAAAAAAAAAAGATCGATCATACGTAATACAGAAACTATCCGTTGCTCGACATAAATTCCTCCATCAGCACGAAGCTGCTCGCAGAGCAAGCGGACAGACACGAGAGACACGTCGCTAGGCAAAAAGGCGCCATTACCGTGTGATCCTCGTCGGAATCGTTATCAGCGCGAGCTGTCTCTGCCCTTTTCCTCGGAGAATGCAGCGGCAGTGGTGGCTGGCTAGAAAATGCATCAGGGATGCAACTCCGGTCAGGTTCCACGCGGCGATAAACAAACAAGGAGTCAAGTGGGCTCGGCCGTCTTCGTCGACGGCACGACCGTGCCCGAGCCTTCGTTCTCCTCCACCTTCTCCGGCAGCGCCTACGTTCACGTCTGGCTCCTTTTCTCTCGTCTCCTCTCCACTCCTCGCCGCGCGGACAGGTAACTCGCGCCGTTCACCTGGAGAGAGAGAGAACCGGGTCTTCAGTCTCGAACCGGTGGGCCGGAGGGAAGGAGCTCCGTGACCCTGAATCTATTTCGCAATTGTTCGCCGCACACATATATCGTCTTCCATTCTTCGAATTTTCGGTTCCTCTCGTTCTCGATTCTTCTATCCCATCTTTCCTCGTTTCCGATCGGGAATCTGTACGTCGAGGAAGCCCCGTGGATTCGTTAGGCGAGACCGATTCCAAGAATACACCGTTCGATCGAGTGTGGTTACGAGAAGGACTCGCCGAGCCGGAGAGCAGATATCTCGTGGATCGTTTGTGCAAGTGAATTCTCGTCGAGCCTGTCCGCCGCAGGAGCTTCAGTGGTGTTACATGTAACCAAGGGGAGCACGAGGATCACGACGCGGAACCCAGGAGCCACCAAACAGAGTAAGTCCGGCCAGACGAGATGTTAAAAATGGAGCGCTTCCGGGCGGCGTTACGCGAACTGGCAACGTACACTGCGGGCAACACCTGCGCGGCACACGGAGTCGACGTTCTTTCGTCGAACAGGCTTCACTATGTTGTTAGGTTTACTCGAGAGCCCGATGGCTACTTTCCTATTGGACTATATAGTTATCGATTGAGTTTCTGCGTGGAGAAATTAGTCGATAACAGGGAATAATTAACACTTTGCGTACAATGACGAGTGAGACTCGTGATGAAGGTTTCTAGACTAATTTAAGAATTAACCCTTTGTACTCTGTAGGCTCTAGGAAGGAAATATTTCGCACTAGGAAGGAAAATAAAAGATCTAAGAAATGCTATAGCATTTCCCATTTTCTCCGAAGATACTATAAAAATTAGTTGCAATTTCTGATAGGTTACAAAACCATCTGGAGTGCAAAGGGTTAATATTGTTTATTAAAATGAAATTTACACTTGAAGTGGAGTGGAAAATTTTGTTACGTTTCTTAGGAATTGTCGATAGTCAAATATTACATGAGCTTAGCGAAAGTAAATAGTCGAGAGGTTAATACTAGAGCTAGGAGACATCTTCTTTTGGTGATTTGGAAGGGTAATTAATGCTTGTTTGAGAAATTAGTGGAATTGATTTGGCAATACGCGAGTTGAATTGTAGAGAAGTTGATGTCTCGATGGATACATTCGTGGAGTTTGTATAAGAAAATGTTGAAAAGTCAATTTCACTGATTGGTAGTTGTAGAAGGAATGATGTTCGATTGTTTTAGAGATTTGGTCAGGATCGATTTGATAGAAGCGAAATTTAGTTAGGAAATTGATGGTTTCGGTAATAGTAAAGTGCTGCTCGATGTTTGGTAGAGGTTTCGTTGACTTTCTTAGTGATTTTTAGGCGGCTGATAGTGGGAAGATGTTTGGGAATGTTGGGTTTGTTAGATGTGATGGTATTTTGTAGTTGATGGTTTGGAGATGTTGATTCTAAGATGTCAGATTATATTTACACGTTTTTGATATTGTGGAATTAGGTTTCGTGAGAATTTGATCGTTATAGGAATTCGAGACTTTACGGTTCATTGTTTATTAAGAAGACGCATCGATAGTCGACTGTTTTGTCGAACGGAATCTTTCCCTGTAGCCATATCTGAAAAGGAAAATGACGAGAAGATGTTTGGAATGCGAACTATGCGACCAGTTTGTTGAAAAGATGAAGAACCACTTTTTTGTACACACGATTATGCGTTTCAGGAGAAATGCTGTACACATCTTCGGTGATTGTTAATATAAATTCAGATTTCTTAAAGAATTCATTAAGGAAACGTAAACTAAAGAAAACTAAAAGTTGTCATTAAATTATTGAAAAATATTTAAAATAACATAATCAATGTATCTGTGATTAGATAATCGATCCCGTCCAAAGGACATTTTTACTTTCAACAAATAATCCATTTACGTGTTTATCACTCCACCATAAACACATTTCAAGAAACTACGCATTCTGTGCAGCGTTTCCTTTCCACCGGAATCGAAAAAAGAAACAATACATCAGGACAGCCGGCCGAACGTATTTATCGTTTCCTTTTGTTCTATTTCGAGCGATGCTAAACGGTACTTTGTTCCCTTCGGCTTCTCCTGGCCGCAGAATTTATGCGATTTTCGTTCTGCTCAGTGAGCTGTCGCATACATTCACGCGTGCAAACGCGTAACAGAAATCCGCGGCCTTAGAAATCCAACCTAAACAACGTGAAACCGAAGATTCTTCCTTTTGCCTCCGCTCAGTGGAAATTCCTGCGCGATATCAGGGTACGCTCAATTCTGTTTTTCTACAGAAAAATAGAGATTGGCTCCTGACCTAAGAAATCAACAGAATAATACAATAAACCATACTGAAGTTCAAGTTACAATTTACATGACTCGAATCAAAGCAAATCGCGTGAAAATAGAATCAATCCTTTTCTAATTCGAGTGAAATCAAAGAAAAATAATTCCCATTAACACTTTCGGTTTTCCTATACCGCGATTATTGATATCTTAAGCATGTCGGATATTTAAAGTGATTTTAAAAATAGATTCACTCAAATACTCCAATGAACGTACGAAGAAACCGAGAAAATCTGTTACGATGTTTAAAAGGATCGTTTGCATATTAATAGGATCGAACGCTCGGTATATAATGTTAAATCGAGATCGGAAAACAGAGTTGTGTACGGAAAAATCTTCTGTAACATGGAACCGTTTTCTGCTCGCACGAAATCGTACTTTCGCTTTCGAACACGAAGTTGCAGAGTGCTTTTATTGCGCGCATAGAGACGCAAACGTGAAACCGGCGACACCGGGGCCATGTAAGAATGGCGGAGCAGAAATTTATGGAAGAGAAAGCTCGTTCCTCGAATAACGAAATCCGCGGTGTGCCCACGGCGATCCGCGTTCCGTGGCCACGTGAACCGGTAATGGCCTATGAAAAATCGCGAAAATTACTCGGGAGCGTGAAAACCGCGTTGCACGTTGCTGTTCCGTTTACCAGTTTATTATTTCCCCGCTATCAAATTGTTTCTGCGCTTTAAGGTCCGTTTCCCGGGAAATCCTTGCTTTCTATTTGAACAACTTACGTTGATCATTGAAACTATAGGTTTACTATAGAATTATTGTTTATTTTTACGACACAATATTAAATTTCGAAGAAAGTTTTGGTTAATAATCGAGTTACTTCTGTGGAGAGAGCAGTTTTACAGTAATTGCTTTTTACGATGGTACCTCAATGGTGCATATAGCCTTTTAATTCATATTCAAATAACAATATAAATTATTATCTTCCATATCAGTTCGTTATTTCGCAAATATCTTCAATAATACCAAGTATCGAATAAAATATTAACTACTTAAAGAAATAATAATAATAAAAATTCTTAGGGCACAAATCCTCTAACAATAATCGAGAATACATAACAGTGAACGATTAAGCATCTATTGTGCCGACCACAACGAACCTATAAATAACTCGAGCCTATTCTTTCCGAAGTTTGCGCCGAATACAATGGACGTTTAATCATTAACATCTAATCGTCACTGCGACGAATCCACGAGCGCCACGTCGCTCCACAATTTTTCTTCTAATATTTATCATTACTCGCGAACAGGCAGACGTGGATACCTACATATGTCACCGTTCATCTTGTCGAACGAATGTAACGTCTAATAATAGAACGAGGTTCGCAACCTCGAGCCATTGTCAAAGAAATTAGCCTCGTGGACTCGAGTGGAACGTTAAAAACTCGAACAAAATCGTAATAAATGGGATCAAGACCTTAGCCACGTCGGTGATCCACCTACACGCGGGCTATCTCGGTTCCCTACATGCCTACCTACCTATCAACCTAACCTAAAACCTGCATAATCCTATCTTTCTTGTTACCGGCTCGCCATAATGGTACCCCGTTGCCCACGTCTGACCCAAGGAAACCGGGACTACGGTTTGTTGTATCGAGCCACGGAATTCCGAGGCAATTTATACGTCGCTCGCCAGCCGATCTTTGTTGCTCCTCTCCTATTGGTCCACTTTGCTCGAGGAAACCTCCAGGGACGTAGGAAACATTTACTCGAACCTAGAGAACTGACCGTTTTGTTGCAGAAATGAATGTTCGACTTCGATTATTCCGCTCGGAGATGTTTGTAAGATTTTATACGAGAATTAGGAAAGAGAGTAACGAATGGAATGATTAATTTAGTGATTAATCGAGTAACTCATTGAATAGGATAGTTTGTTACTTGTTTCGATTTTCAGTTTCCAATTTCTAATTTATAAATTTTAGCTTCGTTTCATATGTACACAATATTTCCAGGTTAGTCCGATAACGGTTACTATTACAATCGGTAATTTATTCTATTAATTGAGCGTCGAGTTTAATCCGATCTAATTCACTGGTAATTAAGTACTGATTCCAGCTTAATAAGAAGAAATTTTTAATGAAACGAACAGCTGTACGAAGGTTCCAGCGGAACGTTAATCAACGAATGCTCTATGCGCCTGTTATTCCGTGTTTACAAACAGTACACTGAACTGCACGATCGATGTTTTTGCTTTTCGCTGGAAATCGTTCCAGTTTTTCATCCGCGGCAAAAACCGGCGCCGAACGATTCAGATACAGTCGACAGAAAATCCTCTCCGCGAGCGTCGTGACTTAACAACAGATTCACGCGGATCAAGGCGTAACTTGGTTAAGGTACCGTTAACCCGCTGACGAGTCGCGACGAGGCGGCAGTCCTAAGAAATTCCGATCGCGTAACAAATTTCGATGCCCGGCGTCCGCCATTGCGGCCGTTGTGCGTCGAGCAGCGTTCCCCGTGGGCCGATTTCTTGCATAAATTCCGGTGTTGCGCGATCAATGCCGGCCATCGGGCAGAATTTTACGATCTACGCGTGCTGGTTCATTGAACAGATATTCGGGACGAGTATAATCGCGCTAATAATTTCTGGTTAGCACGCGATCGATCGAAATAGAGTCACTTCGAAGTAAGTCTTTTGCTGAACACGTGACATTTAACCATTTGTTCTGTTATTTTGTCAATCTTGGTTTAACAAATATAAATGTCACTTGATTCTTTTGACTTTATATTAAATATTTTTCTGTTATCAGTAATACTGCTTTAATGTGATTTATGCTCGAATTTATCCTTTTGAAAGAAATCCTAAAAGTGACCTGTTACAGAGATTCAATTAGAATAATATTATTCACTATTTGTTTAGATTATTGAGTAACAGTATTAACACTAGAACTACCGAGCATTTAATACGATTAATATATAATTCCTATAAAAATTGTAACGATAGATTATTTTCAGTTTCTTCAGGCATTCATTATAGTACTCAAATCAAACTATTCATTTTCAAAACCATTTCGAATATTCAATCCTTCGAAGATAATAATTACTAAACAAAAAAATCGAAACCAGTCATTTTGACTGGTACGGTAGTT